CATCTGCATTGAGACCTCTTATCTGAATTTAGGTATTAGGTGAAGAAGAACACTGAAACCAGCTGAAGCCGTATCAGCAGAGATGCTTCTGTGCTAGGAAGTAATTCAGAGTGCTTCCATGGTGTACTTTAGACAGGTTTGCTCTGGTCCTCTGGACTCAGCATCCCCAAGGGATATTTCAAAGCTCTCAGAAGGACCCTGTCGTTATCTCTGACACTGCAGTCCTCCATTAGGAAGGGGTAAATATTCCTTGCCCTTGTGGCAAGGAACTACTCAGTTAGCTGTTTCTAACCCAAATCTCTTTGTTGTCTTCTATAGACAGACACCACCCGGCTAGCCAAGCTAAACCCTTGAAAATGGAAGGAGTGGGACATACTTCCAAAGCCTGCTGCTGCTTCTAAGCAGAACTGCGCTGTAGGTGGGGACACAGCAAGAGGACACGTCCAGGCCACGGTGGAACTGCAAGGCACCTGTCTGAGCCACACAACGAAGTCAGCGATTGCCCAGTTGGAGACTGTTGCTGCACTAGTGACACAGCAGCTGGAGCGCTTCTGGTTGCTGCTGATGGGTTCCCGTGAATCAGCCAGGGTTATGAGCTACGAGAACGGCTGAAGCGATCTGAACTTACCTGAAGGAAAGAAGACAAGAGGGGAGGGAAGGGGAGGGAATAAAAAGAAGGGAAGGGAGGGGAGGGGAGGGATGGGGAAGGGAGGGAAGAAAAAAAAAGGGAAGGGAGGGGAGGGGAGGGGAGGGGAAGGGAGGGAAGAAAAAAAGGGAAGGGAGGGGAGGGGAGGGGAGGGGAAGGGAGGGAAGAAAAAAAAGGGAAGGGAGGGGAGGGGAGGGGAGGGTAGTGTACTGTAGTGTAGTGTAGTGTAGTGTAGTGTAGTGTAGTGTAGTGTAGTGTAGTGTAGTGTAGCATAGTAGAGGGGAGGGGAGCGTAGGAGAGTATAGGGTAGTGTAGGACAGCGGAGTTTAGGGGAGTGTAGGGTAGGATAGGGGAGGGGAGCGTAGGGGAGCATAGGGGAGGGGAGCATAGGGTAATGTAGGGTAGTGTAGCGAAGGGGAGTGTAGGGTAGTATAGGGGAGGGGAGTGTAGCAGAGTGTACGGGGTGTCTAGGGAGGGGAGTGTAGGGGAGTGTAGGGGTGTGTAGGGTAGTATAGAGGAGGAAAGTGTAGGGGAGTGTAGGGTAGTATAGGGGAGGGGAGGGGAGTGTAGGGGAGTGTAGGGGTGTGTAGGGTAGTATAGAGGAGGGGAGTGGGGAGTGTAGGGGTGTGTAGGGTAGTATAGGGGAGGGGATTATAGGGGTGTGTAAGGTAGTATAGGGAGGGAAGTGTAGGGGTGGTAGGGTAGTATAGAGGAGGGGAGTATAGGGGAGTGTAGGGTAGTATAGGGGAGGGGAGGGGAGGGGAGGGGAGGGGAGGGGAGTGTAGGGGTGTGTAGGGTAGTATAGGGGAGTGTAGGGGAGTGTAGGGTAGTATAGGGGTGTGTAGGGTAGTATAGGGGAGGGGATTATAGGGGTGTGTAAGGTAGTATAGGGGAGGGGAGTGTAGGGGTGTGTAGGGTAGTATAGAGGAGGGGAGTGTAGGGGAGTGTAGGGTAGTATAGGGGAGGGGAGGGGAGTTGTAGGGGTGTGTAGGGTAGTATAGGGGAGTGTAGGGGAGTGTAGGGGTGTGTAGGGTAGTATAGGGGTGTGTAGGGTAGTATAGGGGAGGGGAGGGGAGGGGAGGGTAGTATAGCGGAGGGGAGGGGAGTGTAGGGGTGTGTTAGGGTAGTATAGGGAGTGTAGGGGAGTGTAGGGGTGTGTAGGGTAGTATAGGGGTGTGTAGGGTAGTATAGGGGAGTGTAGGGGAGTGTAGGGGTGTGTAGGGTAGTATAGGGGTGTGTAGGGTAGTATAGGGGTGTGTAGGGTAGTATAGGGGAGGGGAGGGGAGGGAAGGGGAGGGAAGGGGAGGGAAGGGGAGGGGAGGGGAGGGGAGGGGAGGGGAGTGTAACAGAGGTTGGGACAGGGAGCATAGGGGAGGGGAGGGGAGGGAGGGAAAAGAGCAGATGGGAGGGGGTGGGGAGTGCTACCATAAATAAAATTGCCAAATACATGACATTTTGGATCTGGAGCCAAATCTTTGTGTTGCTGAAGGGACTGCAAGACACAGACTCCTGATGGCTCTTGAACAGGAGGCGTTTATTGCCCTTTTTCACTCCTACATGTCCTCTCCCCGTAGCCCCACGTGCTGTCCACGCGCCCGAATCTATCATACAGTTGGTCAGAGACCCTCAGACACGCGCCTGGAGCCAGCCAGCAATTGCCCACTGCCCAAAGGTCCTCTTTAACACTGTAGCCAATTCTTTATCTCACGCCTGCCTCAAGGTTTTGTTTCCTACCGCTTGTTTCCTCATTACCTCTAATTCAGGGACCTGCGAAACAGCGCGAAGCCACCTGAAAAGTCCCTCCCCACGCATTGCCATTCATTCCACAACCTGATTTATCGCTGCCATCCGCGCATTGCACAGTGCCATGAAAGGTTTGGCGTGCACAGAGGTGGCTGAGGATTTTCAGAAATAACTTTCCTTAAGAACTGCATCAAGACTTTTGCTGGAAGGCAAAAGATCGGGTGATTGATTAACGTAGGGAAGGCAGCTGAGCAAGGGAAGCATCTTCCAAACTTCCAAATATTTCCTGGATACAGAACTACAACTCCTCTGCTCTCCGCTTAGGAGTTTCTGTCACCTGCTTAGGAAGCAGAAGCAGTAACATGGGATTTAGAGGATCCAGCTGAAGCGTCGGTGCCAGTTCGAGGAAACCATCAATTTACGGGGTTTGAAGAGAGTTGGACCAATGTTCCAAGGAACATGTACTAGTGCTGCATATAGATGTCTGTAAATATCTCTACAGCTGGCTTGTATCAGACATAGAGTGGCCATCAGGACTAGGGAAGCGGTTGTCCCTCTGTGCGCGGCTCTGGTGAGGCCGCACCTCGAGCACTGTGTTCAGCGAAGACCTCGAGGTGCTGGAGCGTGTGCGGAGAAGGGCTCTGAAGCTTGTGAAGGGTTTAGAGAACAAGTCTGCTGAGGAGCGGCTGAGGGAGCTGGGCTTGTTCAGCCTGGAGAAAAGGAGGCTCAGGGGAGACCTTCCTGTGCTCTACAGTACGCTTAAAGGAGGCTCCAGAGAGATGGGGATCGTTCTCTTCTCCCAAGCCCCAAGTGACAAGACAAGAACAAAAACCTCTAAGTTGTACCAGGGGAGGTTTCAGTTGGTTCGTCATGAAAAATTTCTTCACCGAAAGAGTTGCTCTGGTGGGTTTACGTGGCAAGGTTTTGGTAGCAGGGGGCCATAGGGGTGGCTTCTGTGAGAAAGATCTAGAAGCTGCCCCACGTTAGATAAGGGCTCCACTGCTGGCCAGAGCCAAGCCAAGAAACGATGTCGCTTGTTCCTCTGTGAGAGCGTATTTAAGAAAGGAGAACAAAAATAACAAAAAAAAGCTGCTTCCCAGGGAGAAAGAGAGGAGAAGCAGCCCTGCAGCCCCCCAGGTGAGTGCAGCAGGAGGGCAGGAGGTTGCTCCAGGCAGGCAGCAGCAGTCCCCCTGCGGGCTGTGCAGGGAGAGGCCCCCGGTGGAGCAGGCTGTCCCCCTGCAGCCCATGGGTCCCCCACGGACCAGATCTCCACGCTGCAGCCCCCCGTGGGTGGAGGAGCCCCTGGTGGAGCAGGTGGATGTGGCCTGGAGGAGGCTGCGGCCCACGGAGAGCCCCCGCAGGGCAGGAGCAGGCCCCGGGCCGCAGCTGCAGCCCCCCCGTGGAGAGGAGCCCCCGCAGGAGCAGGGGGTCTGGGGGGAGCTGCCGCCCAGCCGTGGGGGACCCGTGCTGGAGCAGTTTGCTCCTGGGGGATGGATGGATGGATGGAGCCCGTGGGACGGAGCCGTGTGGGAGCAGTGCTTGAGGAGCTGCTGCCTGTGGGCAGCCCCTACAGAATCAGACTGGGAGGGACTCCACGTGGAGCAGGGGCAGGGAGTGACCATGAAGGAGCAGCAGAAATGTATTGTTAGGGACCCCATTCCCCTGCGCTGCTTGAGGGGAGGAGGTAGAAGAGAGTGAAAGGGGGGGGGGGGGAAGGTGGTTTTAGTTTGCTTTTAGTTTCTCACTGTTCTAGTCTGTTAGTGATAGGCAATAAAGAATATTAATATTCCTATGTTTTGCCCATGACACTAATTATTGAGTGATCTCTGGTCCTTATCTCAAACCTTGAGCCCTTTGCATCATATTTTCTCCTCCTTTTCCTTTGAGTAGGGGGAGTGAGAGAGTCGTTGTGGTGGAGTTCAGCTGACAAGCAGGGTAAAAGCACCATAACATTATAGTGCGTAGATATGTCCAACAAAAAAGTTATTGCAGTTATTCATTTGAGAGATTTATGGATGTATGGTTTCAGCTCAGTAGCAGCTGGACTCATTAGCTAGGATTTTGCTCAGTGTGGTAGGACACAGGAGGCAGAAGGGTCTGCCTCTCTCTGAGATGGAAGGAAGACTTCACTCCCATAAAAACAAGGTCCTATAGTTCCTGCTGAGATAAGACATCAGGAAGAAGTCTGAACTAAGACCTATCACACAGGTGAGATATTTCCAACATGATCAGCCAGGGCTGTCAGAAGAGGGGGCTGCTGGTTGAGGTACACAGGTACTGCATTGGTGCTGTATGTTGACCTTGGGCGGAGCAGGGGCTTCTCTACATCCTAGAACTGGCAGCAGGCCGGGCAGGATCCTTCTTCTTCAGTTGCAGAACTTTGTGCTGTGCTGAGCTCAGTATCAAGAGGGAGCAGCCATCTGGGAAGCCTTGTCATCCAGAGATGTTCAGCATTATCCCTTCAGGTCCTTCTCAGGCTTTTTGGCTTCTCAGCTCTCTGTAATTACTTGAAGCATTATGAATGAAGATGACATGCTCAAAAGTGTCTGTTTGGTTTTGCCCAAAATTTTTTAAAGTAGTGGTCTGGTTTACAGTAACCAACTGTTATAAATTCCAAGTCAATTTAGCTTTAAGATTTATTTATAGGTTCAATAAAAGGCAGGTAAACAGCGCTGCATGCGCAAGGAGTCTGGGCTCCTCCAACATGCACAGACATTACACCAGGCAGCTGCTTTTTCTGCTCCTAGGCTAATACATATTCATTACTACTTCTAGAAAAGGCAGGGTTATTATAATTAGTTCCCGGATTCCGAACCCTCCCACTGGCACGTGCATATCAGTCCCCGGTGGTCCTTCTGGGGGTCTCTTGTGCTGAAGGCTCAAAGTCTTCCTCCCAGGCTTTGTCCTTGTCCTTCTCCTTTGTCCATCTTGGCCAGGTATCAGAGACTTGCCTGGTGTCCAAGGCAATAGTCACAATAGTTAGCAGTTATCCTGAGACCCCTTTGTTCTCTTATCCTCAGACATCAGAGACTCAAGGTTTACCCTTCAAGCCCTCTATTGACACGAATTGCTGGAACATTCCTTACAATACTCTTAGATCAGGATTCTGATTTTAACAATGGTTCCTAGTGCAGAGAACTTTTCCAGAGAACAGAGAAGCAAACCAGTCCTGACTGCTTTGAAAGAGATGGAGATAACAAACGTAAAAGAAGAAAATAAACCTGTGGGAATGTTTTCCAAGAATTGTCATAGTCCAAAAGCTTTAAATTGGTTCAATCCCTGAAAGTTAATTAGCATAAACTCAAGTTGCATCACTGAACTTGAAGCAGTAGGATAGACTTGCACCATTGCAGAGCCTCAGTTGTGGATTAAATTGCCATTGCCTCTAACTCTATACAAGAACAAGAGGGAAAAGCACACCTTTCTACTTTGTCAGCTAATGGCATAACTAGATAGAGAAAAAAATACGTTGTTAATTAAAAAGTAATGTTGTTTTAAGGCATTTCAACAAATCTGTAATATTTGGTATTAAGCAGACAAAAAATGGAATAGGAAACAGTAGAAGGTACTTGCATGGCCTTAATTTACATGGCAATTGACGACAAGAACAACTTGCAATGATTTCAAAGTGCCTTCCACCATTCACCCTTGGGACTCTGGGGACCAGATATTCTCCCCCTCTCCCTGCCACACATAACTCTCCTACCTCTCAACACATCTGTGCATGAGACGCTTTAGGATTTCTTTAACCTTTGACAAAACCTCAAGTGCATTCTGGAGACATACCAAGAAGAATGTGCTCGTCTCAACATCCCAAAGGTAGTCGAAGCTTTGGAAGGCTACCATAACTTGCCAGGAGGAGAAGAAAGGGAGAATGAACAAGTGGGAAAGCATATCTTCCCCTGACCCTACCTCAGAAACTATTAACAATGATGCCTTTCACACTTTTTCTTCAGGGAGCCCGTCTATGGGGGGACCAGGACTAGGGACTTTTCTGAGGGTCACAGATAGGAGGGGTCTGCCCGCCCCTACTGTTGCTCGACAGCCCTCTCCTATGTCCCGACAAGGGGTAGAGGCTGTCCCCGTTGTACACATGCAGAACAGAGGGCCAGACTGTCCACAAGAGACAAGGGGCTGGACCCTTGTCTAGGCTCAGAGCAGAAAGAGACATGTGCCCCCGACACCCATGGTGCCACCTACCCCCACTGGTGTCCCTGGGAAACAGATTTAAGGCTCTCAGGGAGGTTGCAGAAGAGGCTAAGGATCTGGACACTAGTCCGAACCTGGGAAGCAACCCTGAGAAGAGTCAAGATTGGGGGAAGTGCAAAACATAAGGATCAGGGCCGGATGGAGCACTGCATTGTAACCTGTGTCACAAAAAAATAGAGCGGAGAGTCCTGGTGATTGGAGACTCCTTGCTGAGGGGCACTGATGCTCCTATCTGCCGCCCAAATAACCTAGCCAGAGAAGTGTGCTGTCTTCCTGGGGCACATATGAGAGATGTTAGGAAGGCTCTGCCACGACTCATTAAACTGGAGGACTACTATCCTCTCATAGTCATTCAGGTTGGATCCCGGGAAGCTGCTATTAGAAAAATGAAGAACATTAAAAAGTTCTTTGAATCCCTAGGGAGGTTGTTGCAGGGATCGGGGGTGCAGGTAATATTCTCCTCTGTCCTCCGCTGGGTGACTGGGATGCAGATAGAAGGAGCAGAACAGGACAGGTAAATGACTGGCTGAGGGGGTCGTGTCTGGACCAGGGATTTGGGTATTTTGGTCTTGGGCCATCCTTTGAGAGGCCGGGTATGTGGGCTACGGACAGACACCAACTGAGCAAGTTGGGCGCAAGTGTGTTGGGGAGCAAGCTCTCTGGGCTGATTACCAGGGCTTTAAACTAGGTTTGATGGGGGAAGGGAGGGGAGCTAAAGGTGACAGAGAAGGGCTAGGGGAAATTATCACTGCTGTCACTGTTGAAGACAGGGAAAAACTTCTGAGCTCTCCCATAGGATTGTCTGAGGGCTCCTCAGAGAAGGTAGCGTTCCTGATCCCTCGGCCAGTATCTTCTTCTTGCATCCCCCCAGGGGTAACTGCACCTGCTGCTTCCCTAAAGTGCCTGTACACCAATGCATGGAGCATTGGAAATAAACAGGATGAGCTCGAGATCTGTGTTCGGTCGCAGGGCCACTATCTCAGTGCAATCACTGAGACATGGTGGGACAGCTCTCATGACTGGAATGCTGTTGAGGGCTATGTCCTCTTTAGGAAAGGCAGGCTGGGGAAGGGAGGGGGTGGGGTTGCCCTTTATGTGAGGGAGTAATTAGAGTGTACCCAGCTCCAGCTGGGGGAAGGTGAAGGACAGGTGGAGAGCTTGTGGATAAGAATGAAGGGGTGGGCTGGTATGAAAGACACCGTGGTAGGGGTCTACTACAGGTCTCCAGATCAGGAGGAGGAAGTCTATGAGGCCTTCTACAAGCAACTGCCAGTAGCCTCATGATCACTGGTCCTCATGGGGGATTTCAATTACCCAGACATCTGCTGGGTAAGCAACTTGGCCAGGCACGAGCAGTCCAAATTGTTCCTACAATATGTTGAGGACAATTTTCTGATGCAGGTGGTGGAGGAGCCAACAAGGTGCAGGGGGTGCTCCTGGACCTTGTTCTTACCAGCAGGGATGGCCTTGTTAGGGATGTGAAGGTTGGGGGCAGCTTGGGATACAGTGACCATGAGATGGTGGAGTTCTGGATGGAACTAGGCAAAGCAAGTAAGGCTAAAAGCAGGATTGCTACCCTGGACTTTCAAAGAGCCAACTTTGACCTCTTCCGGGACCTGCTTGGGAGTATCTCATGGGATAGGCTGCTAGAAGGCAAGGGTGCTTGTGAGGGCTGGGCTACATTTAAGCAGCACTTCTTCCATGCTCAAGATCGGTGCATCCTGAAGAATAAGAAATCGGGGATCAGGGAAGGGGGGCAGGAAACCCATGTGGATGAGCAAGGAGCTCTTCAATAAGATCAAAAGGAAGAGGATGGTCTATGAAATGTGGAAAAGGAGCCTGTCCTCTTGGGAGGAGCATAGATGTGTTGTCAGGGCCTGCAGGGACACAACAAGGAAGGCTAAAGCCCACCTAGAGATGAGACTTTGTGAAAGAGGTAAAGGATAATAAGAAGGATTTTTTCAAGTATGTAAACAGCAAGAGGAAGACAATGTGGGTCCCTTGCTGAATGAGGGAGGTGTCCTGGTCATGGGAGACGCTGAGAAGGCAGAGAGGCAGAGATACTGAATGCTTTCTTTGCTTTAGTCTTTGCTTCAGGGACGCTCCCTTGGGACTCCTTGCCCCTGAGAATAGGACAAAGGGTCTGGGAAATGGAGGGCTCCCCCCGGTGGACCTGGGAGTGGTTCAGGAGCATCTGAGTGGGCTCAACACACACAAATCCATGGGTCCCAATGGAATGCATCTGCGTGTGCTAAGGAAGCTGGCAGATGTGATCACCGCACCACTCTATCATCTTTGAAAGGTCCTGGAGAACAGATGAGGTGCCTGAAGACTGGAGGATAGCCAATGTCACTCCTGTCTTCAAGAAGGGCAGGAAGGAGGATCCAGGAAACTACAGGCCAGTCAGTCTCACCTCTGTCCCTGGAAAGGTATTGGAGCAGCTTGTTCAGGATGCTATCTCCAAGCAATTGGAAGAGAAGAAAAATTATGAGTAGTAGTCAGCATGGATTCACCAAGGGGAAGTCGTGCTCAACCAACCTCCTTGCCTTCTATGATGGCATCACCAGCTGGGTAGATGGGGGGGAGAGCGGTGGATGTCATCTACATTAACTTTAGCAAGGCTTTTGATACTGTCTCCCATGACATCCTACTAGCAAAGCTGAGAAAGTGTGGGATAGATGAGTGGATGGCAAGGTGGGTTGAGAACTGGCTGACTGGCCAAGCTCAGAGGGTGGTGATCAGCAGAGCAGAGTCCGGCTGGAGGCCTGTGACTAGCAGTGTTCCCCAGGGGTCATTGCTGGGTCCAATCTTGTTCAACATCTTCATCGACGACCTTGATGAGGGAATAGTGCCTGTCAATATGCCATCAATATTCCCCCTTGATGAGGGAATAGTGCCTGACAAGGGGCAATGGCTACAAGTTAGAGCACAGGAAGTTGTGCACTGACATGCGAAAGAACTTCATGGTGAGGGTAATGAAGCACTGGAAGAGGTTGCCTAGAGAGGTTGTGGAGTCTCCTTCTCTGGAGACATTCAAGGCCTGCCTGGATGCCTACCTGGGCAGCCTGCTCGGACTGGGGGACCCACTGAGAATCCATGTAAGTAACTTCACTGAAAACAGACAAGGTGAAGGAAGTCCTCAAGCTCCCCAACACAAAACAACTCTAGAACCCAGGAACACTTACCTGCCAGCTTCTGAACTGCCAAACTACTTCACAGGGAAGTAGCACCACCAGGATTTTCCTGTTCTGAGAAGTCATCGCCAATGTAACTAGCTCATAGAGTCTCCAAAACTATTTCACAGAAATGGTAGAAAACATGAAGAAAAACAGCCTACTCAGGAATACAAAGTCCATTTCACCAGGACAGTAGAAAAGCACCCTAAGTAATCTGAACCTCAAACTCCCCTGGAGTAGCAATTCTTCCCATAAAATCCTCATGCTTCCTATATAGCAAAGGTCAAATGATCCCCACCTGGCAGACTTCACTTCACAAGGGTGGAGCCAAGAGACCTTGTGGAATAAGCTCATCAACCTGGCTTCAATGTTTTAGGTTCAATTGCTCCTTATCTCTAATAGAAATAACCTGACAAGGGGCTTAGTGGTTAGAGTTGACCTAATGAATTAATTACAAAAGGCACATAAGGGTCATATTTCTGCTAGTCATTCTGTGAGGAAAATTAGTACAGAGCCTGTCAAAATAAGATAAATAAACATAAATAAAAGACATAAATACAAGAAAAAAGAAAATGACCTAAAAGGCAAAATTGCCATCATAGATTTTCAACTGTCTAGTCACGACAGATAAAGAATATAGCAACCAGAAAGACTTTTCTTGATTTTATCGTTATTTAAATTTACTTTTCTGAGATCTCTTCATTATGCAGGACTTTTCAAAGTCTAGTGCCATGACCTCTGACTGCAGTATTTACTTTGGCTGCATATAAACTATCACATATATATGCCAGGATCCGGATCCTCACTCCCTATTCAGGTGAAGGACCGGGATGAAAGTTTTGGCTTTAATTTGGTTATATGACTACATTGCTGTTGTTGTGGTTTCCCCCGGCCGGCAGCTAAGCACCACACAGCCGTTCGCTCGCCCTCCCCACTCCCTTTCTGGGATGGGGGAAAAAAATAGGAAAACAAAGCCTGTGGGTCGAGACAGAGACAGTTTCTTAAGACAGGAAAACAAACAAACAAACAAAAAAAACCAAAGCACAATAATAATAACAATAATAGTACTGTTACTACTAATGCGTACAGAATAAGTGATGCACAATGCAATTGCTCACCACCCGCTGACCAATGCCCAGCCTATCCCCGAGCAGACGGCCCCCCCCTTCCCGGCTAGCCATCCCTATCTATTGTTTAGCATGATGTCAGAGGGTATGGAATACCCCTTTGGCTAGTTTGGGTCAGCTGTCCTGGGTCTGTCCCCTCCCAGCTCCTGCTGCACCCCCAGCCTGCTCGTTGGCAGGACAGAGCAAGAAGCTGAAACGTCCTTGGCTTAGTGTAAGCACTGCTCTGCAGCAATTAAAACATCAGTGTGTTCATCCTAATCCACAACATAGCACCCTACCAGCTCCCAGGAGGAAAATTAACTCTATCCTAACTGAAACCAGGACAGCTGTTTTCTGGCAGGTTGCAAGGAGAAGATTGACATCTTGGCCAGACGTCAGAGACTTGCACAGAATCCCATGCAAGCTTTGTCTTTTAGTTGTCCTTCAGCTTTCCCCTTCTCCTTAATCTCTTGGCCAGATATCAGGGACTTGCGTAGTGTCCCATGCAATAGTCACAATAGTTCACAGAACCCTCCCCCCTAGATATCAGAGACTCAAGGTTTACCCTTTAAGCCCTCTATTGACAAGAATTGCTGAAACATTCCTTACACTACGACCATACTTTTAGGAATCATTCAAAAAGTGATCAGTACAGATGGCCACCAAAAGTGTTTTTAAAGAGGAGTAGTGTAGTAAAATCAAGTCTTCAGAAGTCAGAAGTGCTGAAATTAAGGAAGACTGTAACTCTGTGCACTGATATAAAAATAATAATAATAATTAAAAAAAGAAGTATCACACCAAGGATTAACTCTGTGCTAATTGCAATTTGAAAATACCACAAAGACATTCCATAGGAGTCTCATTACATGTTAATTCTGGGGATTAGTGTCAGATTCAGATACCAGGTCTCTTGCAAGACTTTTTTATTTTTTTAAATTCTTTTGATGAGTATTATGGAGGGCAATAGTATAGTGGTTTGGCAGGCTTTCTCTCCCCATACCATCAAGCTTTTACACTTAGTTTGTAGTAGGCCACAGAATATTGTATATCTGTGCCAGGTTCTCAGATTGACCAGACTGGTGAATGTTTCTCCTTGGATGACTGGCTTACACAAACTGTTGCAGTGGCTTTTTAATAAGGTTATCTCTCTAAAACAGTTGGCTATGTTTCAGGTGTGTGATTTGTAACAGAGAAAAAAAAAAAAAAGGAGGAAAGAGGAGAGGAGAGGAGAGGAGAGGAGAGGAGAGGAGAGGAGAGGAGAGGAGAGGAGAGGAGAGGAGAGGAGAGGAGAGGAGAGGAGAGGAGAGGAGAGGAGAGGAGAGGAGAGGAGAGGAGAGGAGAGGAGAGGAGAGGAGAGGAGAGGAGAGGAGAGGAGAGGAGAGGAGAGGAGAGGAGAGGGATTTTTGATTTTTTTAATTTTTTTTTTTATATAGGAAAAGATTGGTGTTAGATTGTGGGGGAAGCACAGTCAAGAAGGAACATCTGAAACAGAGAAACTCAATAAAAATCAGGACACTTTTTTATCTTTTTTGTTTTTGTACTTAGAAAGATTATATGTTTAAGTAATCAAGTTCAACGGGATAGTTAAATAATAGATCATCTACCAGTAATAGTGGAAGTTGTTTATTTTAATTGTAAAAGTATGGCTTTCAGATTAGTTTTTAATCACAGAATCACAGAATTTCTAGGTTGGAAGAGACCTCAAGATCATCGAGTCCAACCTCTAACCTAACACTAACAGTCCCCACTAAACCATATCCCTAAGCTCTACATCTAAACGTCTTTTAAAGACTTCCAGGGATGGTGACTCCACCACCTCCCTGGGCAGCCTGTTCCAGTGCCTAACAACCCTCTCAGTAAAGAAGTTCTTCCTAACATCTAACCTAAAACTCCCCTGGCGCAACTTAAGCCCATTCCCCCTCGTCCTGTCACCAGGCACGTGGGAGAACAGGCCAACCCCCACCTCACTACAGCCTCCTTTAAGGTATCTGTAGAGAGCGATAAGGTCGCCCCCGAGCCTCCTCTTCTCCAGGCTGAACAAGCCCAGCTCCCTCAGCCGCTCCTCGCAGGACTTGTTCTCCAGGCCTCTCACCAGCTTCGTCGCCCTTCTCTGGACCCGCTCAAGCACCTCGATGTCCTTCTTGTAGCGAGGGGCCCAAAACTGAACACAGTACTCGAGGTGCGGCCTCACCAGAGCCGAGTACAGGGGGACGATCGCCTCCCTAGCCCTGCTGGCCACACTGTTTCTGATACAAGCCAGGATGCTGTTGGCCTTCTTGGCCACCTGAGCACACTGCTGGCTCATATTCAGCCGACTGTCCACCATCACTCCCAGGTCCTTCTCTGCCTGGCAGCTCTCCAACCACTCACCTCCCAGCCTGTAGCTCTGCTTGGGGTTATTGCGCCCCATGTGCAGGACCCGGCACTTGGCCTTGTTGAACTTCATGCAGTTGACCTCAGCCCATTGGTGCAGCCTATCCAGATCCTCCTGCAGAGCCTTCATGCCCTAGAGCAGAATGACACACGCACCTAACTTGGTGTCATCTGCAAACTTACTGAGGGTGCACTCAATGCCCTCGTCCAGATCATCGATGAAGATATTATAGAGGACTGGCCCCAGAACCGAGCCCTGGGGAACGCCACTAGTGACTGGCCTCCAGCTGGACTTGACTCCATTTACCACGACTCTTTGGGCCCGGCTATCCAGCCAGTTTCTAACCCAACGAAGCGTGCGCCAGTCCAAGCCAAGAGCAGCCAGTTTCTTAAGGAGAATGCTGTGGGAGACGGTGTCAAAAGCCTTGCTGAAGTCAAGGTAGACCACATCCACAGCCTTTCGCTCATCCACCATAAAATACTAAATTAAGGATATTAAATGGAGTTATGATATGGCCAGAAGCAAAATTCTGCTACAGTGACAATACGTTTTTAATACTGTGCATGCCCTACATTTTGCAAACAGAGAGAAAAGTGAATACAATTAGATTTGTTAACTTGAACATCAGTATACACATGATGTGATAAGAAACCGTGTCTTGTTCTCTACAATTCTATGTCGTATTACATATGTGCTTTCACTTTCTCTTTCGAGTCCGCCTGGTGATAAAATCAATAATCCTCCAATAACTATTGCAACTCTTATCCCTCAAATGGTGTTAAGTCAGTTGCCTGTGATGTGTGGATGTTATTTTCAGTGTTTTCAATGAAAATGGATTCTGCAAGTAGTAATGCAGATAAAAATCAGTTTAAATAAATTCTGTGGATTCTTTAAATTTTAACATTATTATAGCTCAAATGCTATACTAGGACAAATATTAGATCCTACGTAATCTTTCTGCAGTTTAAGACTGCGTCTTTACGGAATAGTTATAAATGTTTGACAGAAGCCGACAACCACCCCAGACCCTTGGTTTTGTTCTCTTCAGGTACTACTCAATTGTGTTTCTGCTTTTAAAACATTTTTTTTTTTTTTGAAATATACTTAGCCTTTACATTTTTTTTTTAACTTTTTTTTTTTTTTCTTTTTCCTAGATAGGGAGGAGCAGAGCTTTAGTTTGTCAAATTTCTTGAAGAATTAAAAAAGGCAGTAAATAAGTGATAGATTATCCCAACTAAATGTTTCCAAGGTTTGCATCAGAAGTTTTCAGAGTACTGGTACCACAATACTCTGCTTGTCAAGTATGTCCCCTCTGTGTATGGTCACACTCAGATATCCAGAGTGTGGCTTCATTTTACACCTTCTATTTAATGTTTTGGAAAGCACAAAGAAACAAGTTGGTTTTCCTGCAGGATTTCCTTGTCATATAGCAGGTAGTCTTGTCTTCTGCTACGGCACAACTTGAAGTGACAAGCAAATCCAATTAGCCTGGGCAGAACAAAATGCTCCCACAGGCTTTGTTGCATCTTGCATGCCAGTGGGCACTAAGGTGCAAAGCCCAACGCTGACTTCCCAAAGCTCTGCTAATGCATTGTTTCCTCATGAAAAGATCCCAGTTCCTGGGACCTGGAAGTTTCTTAGAGTAGTAGCCCAGCAAAGGAAAATAGGATGTTCTGTACCTGGAGAGGAATAAGCCCGTGCAGCAGCACTGGCTGGAAAGCAGCTTGGCAGAGGAGGACGTGGGGGTCCTG